GGGGGAGTGATGATAGGATTCTACTTTGGTTTGTTATTAGGGCATGAGGAGGAAGGAGTAGATGTTCGAATCTTCCTCAGGGAATTGATATGACGTTTCTCAAGAGACCACAGAAGAATTAAAAAAAAAAAGCCTGTCATTAATTACTAGGGGATACCACGGGAGACATCAGCTCCGTCCAGTAGAGATTGCTATTGTAGAAACCATAAGGTACTGGCAAACATGTGAAAGTAAGGGAGTCTATCCATACTGCTGGAGGTAAGTTGGGATAGTCATGAAAATCTGTATGGAATGCCCTCAAACAAAGTAGATTGAAACAGATTGCATGTACTCAGAATAGCTATTCAATGTGATGCAAGCATGACCCTTGGATAGATGTCTGAAGGAATTGAAATCGGTGTGTTGAAGACATTTATTCCCATGTTTACTTTATAATTGTTATTGCAGCCCTGGCAGTATGGAGGGAGCAGAGAGAAAACAGAGGTATGGTTCAAAGACAATGATAGACAAGAATGGGTGTTAGAGCTCCATTCTAGTTGGTAATAACGTACTTACTATAAACTTCAAAATACCTGAAGTATCTAGATAAGAGGACCTGGAGTGCTTGCCACAAAGAAACAAGTCTCTGGAGGGATATGCTGATTGCCCTTACTCTGTTATTCTGTAACACATCAATAGATATCACACTCTACCAATAATCTGTATAGCTATTGTATATTAATTCAAATTAAAGCCAGAACTGAATAACTATATTAGATGTATTACGAGCAAAATTTGCAGAAACTGACTATGGACTAATATTTGTTTGCAAAGCCCTATACTTCTTTACACAGTATGGCTCCTTATGGAGTATTTTATATGGGATGGATTCCTATAGATTTCTGTAGGAACCATTGGACTTTTTTCTCCAATCTTAGCAGTCTTTTCACCTTAGAAAATATAGGATTTTGCCCCCAAACCAAGACAGGTCTCAGTGCTAGTATCCCTGTGGAATAATAAGCACCTGCCATTTTCTGGTCCTGTTGAAAAGAATTCCTGATCTAAGAATCACTTTGTACACAGGAGAACCTAATTATTACCATAATGTGTGACTACTAAAACAAGTGACCCTGTACACTCCATGAAAACCACAACCTATATAGTCAGAAAGGACAGTTATGATGACCATGGGTCCATCGCACACACTTGTAATCACAGCCAAGAAAGGACAGCTCTTGTGTCCTGTGGTCCAGTGACATACACTTGTAATCACATCCCTGTGAACACTTGGGTGCGGCTTGTAGAGTTTCACCTGCTGTCCGGTGAACAGCAGAGGCCAGATTACACTGATGAAACTCCAGAGTGGGCTTGCCTGGTGATAATTCTTCCCCAGTTGCTCATTTCTCCACTCCACCCGCCCCATGATGCCTTCATCCCCATGGGAGACTGCTTGGCTCATTCTTCCTCTCTGTTTCTTAGTCTTTGCTTCCTATGCCATTTGAGTTGGGTGAGTTTTAACAGAGGATGATGGCTGCTGGCACTGTGTGCTCAAGACTGTTATTTAGAGCATTCAAGGAACACAGGCAACGTCCTGAGAGTAGGCATCCTGAGCAGTGAGAAGACAGGACAGGAACAAAAGCAGTTCTTCTCATCACCACCAAGAGCACTGTCGTTGGTGGGCGTGCTTGCTTTCCCTCTCTCTGCCTTACGTCATGCTTTGCTGTAGAAGTCCACAATGATGGAAGTGAACATACCGCCCCACCCCCCAAGCTCTAACTCTGGACCTAACATCCCCATCACAGTCTTTCAAGTCAGAAATCTTCCCACACTTCAAGATTTCTGTCAAGGTATTTGTGTCTCCAACCCCTGTTCCACCCATACTTCCAGCTCCTATACACACATCACATGGAAATTACAGTATGTGATAGTATTTTCCGTTTATTGAGCACCTATTTCTCAGCCACTGTAGTAGGCATTTTAATTTTTTACACTTATTTGACTCCATGAGTGTGGAGATCAGAGGGCAGCTGATAGGAGCTGATTCTTTCTACCACATAAGTTATGGAGAGCAAAATTTGTCAGGCTTGGCAGCAAACACTCCTTTCCACTGATCCATCTTGCTGGCTCCTGCATTTTGTGTATCATCCATTATTTCAATCCTTCAGAGTCTATAAGGTCTAGATCCTGCCTCATATTTTGCATGAAGAACACCTGAAGACTTGCAGGTGTGTGTATGTGTGTGCGTGTGTGTGTGTAGTTAGTACTGCAGTGTAGCTCTGCCTGGCTTCCAAGCCAAGCTTCTCTCCAGTACAGAACATACCAGTAATGGATGGAGACTCTGTATGAACAAAGTTTAAAGATAGGTAAGTATGAAATTGCTGTGACAATACCCATGATTTGGTAGGCTAATAAAAAGGTTCTTTTTAAGGCAATTAAAATGTGAAAATATGGAAGAGGAATGCTTATTGTATTATCTATGGAAAAAGAGAACTTAATACAACCCAGTATTTGAACAGTCTATGTTGTGTTCCTGTCTGTGGGTCTTAACAGGTGAGTTGGTGGCCTAAAGTGATAGAATTCAAACATGATCCAACTACAGCACTCCCAATCCGTGACCCACACTCAAGCCTGTTTCTGTCTCCCGATTCCTCGCCCTGGCCAGCTTTCAAAGGCAAACAAAACCCATATGATCACTGAAGTCTAGAAATGAGTTTTTATTTTAAATCTGTCAAGAACTCTTGACAGCTTTTAATCTTATTAAAATACAACTGTAAAATAAGAGTGAGTCTTTTTCTCTCCAATACACATTACGTGTCAGTTGAGCTCTCTGCCGGCGTGGCGTTTTTCAAGGTGCTCTTAAGGGACAGCGGGCAGGCTCTGATTTCCAGATAAGACAACAGCAACACAAGAAAAATAATAAATTAAAATGATTGGATTTGGAGACATTGCCAAGGATATGCTAATTACCTTATTTTTTATGTGTGTATAGGCCAGACTCCAAGCTTTGGTACCTTAAAGAAATTATGTGGATAGTGTCTTGTCATTAGTTTGCATTCATAATACATAACAAATTAGCTGACTTTTCCCCCAAAGGATGGAAAAAATAAAACATAACAATTTCAAATAAAATAGAACCCAGAGTTCACTTATCTAACTGCAACATGTTAAAACAAGAACACGTTTATTAAAATATTTAATGCCAGAATAACTTATAATAGTATGAAAAAGAGTGAAGTATTCGTTCTTCCATCTCACTGCCTCGCGCACATCTGGGCAGGCTTGTTTTTGTAGTGACTCCCACTTTGCATCCTGGATCTCGGAGTATCAAGGATGCACCAGAAGAACCCAATACTTCATCCACTCATACAGTCAGCACGTCCACATCTCACTTAGAGCTTACTGCAACTGCCAATGGCACTTAAGAGAAAGTAAAAATATACATACAAAATATGTTCATATCAAATTATCTTCATTACACTAGGTAAGCCCCACCCCACTACGCTATGATACAGGAGAAAGTGTCCTATGATGGCCACCTAGGCCGTCATGTCTGCTCAGCAACCAGATTAGCCTTAAAAGCATTTTGTAAAATAAAGAAAAAAACGTCAGCCTGTGCTGTGAAACCAGATGTCATTCACACTTGCAAAAACGCTTTACAGACTAAAACAATTACAAAATCCATTACATAACCAGAAAAAATGCGCTCCCCCACCCCATAGCCTAGTCTTTTTAGTTTGCTGTTGAATGTTTGTTCTGTCCTTTTGGGCATCTCCAGATTTCCTTTTCTATCGGGCATCTCCATATTCCTTTGGTTTGCAGTCTTCCCAAGCTCGGGAGGATGTTATTGTTTGATGGAAAAGACACTCTTCTTCTTGACGGAGATTACTCTCACTCTGTGGTAGTGACATTTAGAAACAAGACTTTCTTTCAATGCAAGACTTCACTTAATTTTTACTTGGATATCCTACTCGGCAAAAATCAGAGACTTCATGTTTTACTACCCATACGTTTTAAATTTTAAAAAATCAATTTTCCTGCATGTATATGTATATCTATCTACACACAGATTTTTTTCCCATTGTCTCGTTCTCATTGCAATACAACTTGTCCATCTGAATTGGGATTTGAAAGAAACCAAATAGAATGCTTTTAGTCACTCCATACGAAAAGCAGCTTTCATCACAGAGGAACCCTGAACTTTAATGCAAACAAGATTACAATTTAAAACCAAACTTTAGGTTTAGTTTTACACAGGAAAAAATTCAAAGATTTATATAATAAAGCTCTTTTTACCTTCAGAAGAAAAATCCCAATTAGTTGTAAAGGGGATTGGGATACTTTCCAACAGTGCTTGGGAAAACAATTCCTGACTACAATACACTCATTGCAATGTTAAACTGGTTTGAGAGTGGCCCTGTTGCACCTTTCATTTTGGAATCGCTAGCATATCAGATGTGCAAACAAAATCCTCACATAAAATTCTCACCATCACCCTGGAAAGCACAAAGAACAGTTTCCAGTCCTGTAGGGATTAAAAATAAAAAAACAAAAGAAAATAAAAGATCACCACATCTGGGCTGAACAGATTTCCAAGTTTGAACGTGTGAATGACTGAATTTGTTTCAGGGGCTTTCAGCGATTGGCTGCAGTCCTGAACCAGTCTGGAATGATGCAGTCTAGCAAGCACTGGAGCTGACAGTTTGAGGCACAGATCTCCACTGTGCCCACGTTGGAGAGCTTACCTCAGGGAGCAAGGCACTTACTGTACTGGTAATGCAGACGCTTTATGCATAGTTTCAGTAACATAAAATAAGTTAATATTTTTGATTAAAATGAATTTTTATAACTTATATGTCTTTTTTATAGAAGCAATTGATATATTTAGGATAGTTGAACTCAGGAGGTTTAAATGGGAGTCCTCTTCACCCCTGCTTTGGCTCTTAGGATGAGGATTTAGGTAAAAAATAAAACAAAAAAAAACCAAACAAACCCACTGACAAGCTCAGCACTCCCTGGTCACTCTAGAAGCGCTGCACCATTGGCAACTTGACTGTCTTTACTTCTGCTATGTGGGAAGACTTCTGGATGATGCAACTGGTGGTCGTCCCCTGCACGTCATCTTTTCCCTGGGCGAGATTTGTTAAGGCCATGGCTGCGTTGATCTCTTTCCAGTATGTGTCATCCTTGCTTGCCCCCCTTCTGTTAGCAGCACTGCATGTGTGCAAGAGAGAAGAGGAAGGATCAGACCCACCATTGTGTGCCCTGGAGACAGCATCCCAGCAAAGCACCAGTGGCAAATGAAATTCATTTTGCTCACCTGTCACCCTTAGTAGATCCAATGTCTGGGGTGTCTGTAAAGAGAAGCACAAATTCAGTCACTTGTCTCTTTCTTGGACTTCGTCTTTTAAGATTTATTCTCTCTCTCTTTCTCTCTGTATCTCTGTTTCTGTCTCTGTCTCTGTCTTTCTCTCTATGTCCCTTGAATGCAGTTGCCTTTAGAGGCCAGAAGAGAGGAGCTGGAGATACAGGCAGCTGTGAGTCACCTGATGTGGGTGCTGGGAACCAAATGTAAGTCCCCTAAAAGAGCAGACACTGCTCTCGAACACTGAGCCACTCCTTCAGTCATGTTTAATCTTAGGAATTTCTTCATTAATGCCAAGAATAAAATTTTATCTGGAAAAATGGCTGAAATTATTTTTCTTACAAACATCTCATAAGTTACTAAGGTAATTAAGAAGCCAAGCCTTGGATGGGAGGACTGTCCAGGGAGCCACAGTAACGATACTGGCCAATGTTCTTGTTCCTTTCTCACCTGTCAGCCACCACCAGCACATTACCATGTCCCACAAGGTAGATGTATTTTTCCTCAGCTCCAGAACAAAGACTTTCCTAGAAGCTGTTGGGGCTCCCCCAACCTTCATATTCTGTAATTTGCCAAGAGTCCAGCCTAGGGGCCAGGTGAGACTGATAGTCTGAATAGTCAATACAAGAGTAACAGACCTAAAGCTGACATTATATGGAGCTCCTAGCCCATCAGAAGAAACCAGTCTTCAGTCTCCAAAACTCCTTGTCCTGCTGTCATGAGAAGCAAGAGAGACAGCAGGCTTATGCCAGAGATGGGCACATCTGCTCCCTGACAACTGATCAATCCCAACACCATAAAAACAATGAAAGACTGAATTGGATGTTGATTTATTCCATTGGTTTAAGGACTATAGCCTGGGAAACACGAAAGTTGATTCACTGGAGATAAAAATGTGCAGGTCAGGAGTGGGAATGGACAGGGTCTCCCTGTAAGCTCAACACACTCTGAATCGAGGTAGTGGATACATGTTTGTCACCCCAGCCAATGCCATCACTGTCCGCAGCAACAAGACACAGTAAACAATCTACTTACAGAAGCCTCTCAGGACAGAAAGGAAGCAGAAAATGAACACAATGGATTCAAAGTCCACCTCTTCCTATGACCTCTGCAAAACTGTCCTTTCTTGGCCTCAGTCGTTCTCTTTGCCTTCTTGTCTTCCTATTCAGTATTTCTCTAGGCCTTTTGTATTGTCTCTGATGTGCTCAGGTCTGCCAAGGAGTACAATTTAACTCCCATTCCAGAGTTCTAAAAGTCAGACAGCCCAGGAAAGCTCAGAAGGCGAAAAAGGTTACAATGTAGTCTAACCTGGGCAACAGCTCCCAGGATGAAGAAGATAGCCACAAGAAAATAACTGCATGGCTGTGAACGGTGGCCAGACTGAAGGTCCTCTGCAGACAGAGAATCCAGAAGCCTGCTAACAGAGAAGCTCTCTATACAAGGATAGCTTACTCTGAGCTACTTACAATCTGAGGAATCAGCAAACTTGAAAAAAAAAAGCAGGAAATCAAAAGTACTTAATGAAGGCACTTCAAGGCCGCTGTGAAGAATACATGAGATGATCTTCTATTCCGGGCTCATGTTAGTCCTCAGTTTCTTTCCACTGAACATTCAGGTAGCATTTAATAAAGCTTGGGAGAAATGCTTGGGTCTGGAGTGCCATTAGCCTGGGATCTTCCGACCATGCTAGGTTAGCCTGGACAGTTAGAGCCCCACCCTGCTGTGCTGGATAATTTGGGGTTGACAGTCAATCATGTAAATGGAGTAAATCAGCAATAATTTTTGGCCCACAGAACTCCAATAATCCTGATTTATAGATGATTCTTTTATGAGTTGAGTCTCTTCAGTGTTGCTTTATAAAATTTTTTAAAATTATATTTATTTATTAATGGGGCATATGTATAGAGTTCAGAGGACAGAAATTTATTTTTTCCCACCACTTGAATCCCAGAATCTAAAGCTCACGTGCCAGGCAGGATGGTAAATGCCTTTAGCCTCTGAGTCATCTCAGCATCACTAGTCCAAGTTTGTCAGCATTAGTGACTCTGTACGGGGTCCCATGTCTCTTTGTTATCCACGAAGTCTCCCTGTTATCTGTTTTCACTCAGTAATGACAGGTACAAGATGCTACAAGAACCAAAGAACAAGTCAAGCCTTTCAGAGGGTAAGTTAGCAACACTGGGAATTTTACAGAGAAGGGGGAGGGGGAGAAGCGAGGGAGGGGAGACAGGCAGAGACAGAGACAAAGAGACAGAAACAAAAAATTAATATTTTGGCCTTTGCTCAATTTTTCCCACAGATGTTGCCAAAAGTGAAACAATAGGTTACTGGGTGTTCAGTCAATAAAAAGATCTGTCAAAAGCAGACTGAGATCCATGAAGTGCAAACATTAGGGCAATAAGAAAACTGAACTTAGACAGGACTAAATGCTGATGCCGGGTTTACAGCTGAACCGTTTGCCACTGTTGAAGGGAAGGGAATAATGCTGCCTACCCGACAAGTCAGCTGAGTGGTGACTGGGGACAAGCAGGAAGCTTGCAGTTATCAGATAAGTAACCTGATGTAAAATCCTGAAGCTGTAGAATCCTCAAGATGAGAAGGAAGCCTATGTTCTGCAGGCCCAGAGCAGCTAGATACCTTTGGCACCTACAGTGGCTGGCCCCTTAAAGCACAACCACTGAGAATAGAGATTCCTGCAACAGGCTGTGAAATTCTGAAATTCTGCTTACTTAGAGATGAATGCACCTATGAAAGCATCTCTGATATGTAAAAACTCATTCATGTCCTTGTTTGGGCATTCTAATTAGTTTCAGAACCCTCCCTTCTCTGTCTCTGTCTCTCTGTCTCTCTCTGTGTATACACAATGAGTTTGTACACACACACACACACACACACACACACTCACATTTGTGGGTGTGAATGTGTGTTCATGATGTTCATAGAGGGAACAAGGCAACCTATGACCTCTGGTATTGGTTTTGCCTTATTTGAAGCAAAACAGCTTGTTCACTGTCCTGTACTTCTGGCTTGAGGGTTTCTCCTAGTTCCAAGGTTTCCTCTGTCTCTGCCTTCTACCTCTTTGTTCGAGCACTAGTATTGCAGATGCTACCACCATATGCCTGGCTTTTTTATGAGTCCTGAGGATTTGAACTTGGGTTCTTCTACTTGCATTACAGTGGTTTTGTCCAATGAGGCCTCTTCCTATCCCCTATTTCTACAAATCCTAGAACCAGGACTGATGTACGAGTGCCAAGGCTGAACTTTGCACTTTAAGGATTGTGGGTATACTTGGTGTTGTAAGGTAGGGCAGGATAAGACTGGGATGGAGCTGCATAAACTACAATAGCTGGGAAACAGCTGGTGTTTCTGTCAAGGCTAAACTGTCCCAAGGTGCACTCGGGAGGATTTCAGACCAGGTGCAGAAACTTGAATGTCATACCTGGAAGCTTTTCTGCATCTATGGTGGTTTGAGTGGCTACTGCTGGGGGTTTCCCAGTGTGACTAGGATAATGCGATCTGGACCATTCCTGAGGAGTGGTGAACCTAGTTCTCATGTGAACCACAAAAGGAAGTTCATAAACAGCCTCCCCCTTCTTGGAAATATTTGTCCACATTCTGGACAGCAGGAACTCTAAAGACCTGCTAGTTTGGAGACTTCCATTTCCTGTGTTGAGATGGAGTCTGGGGAGATGTCCCAACCATTTTAGAGACCAGTACAACCTGAGCAAGTTTGCAATCACAGATCACATTCAATGCTGCTACTAAAGGCTACAATTTTCTCCTACTGGTTTTTTTTTTTTCCCAAAGCAAACACTTGCTTCCTCTTTTCTGGTTGAACTAGTTGTCTTGCAGCCCGTAGTCAGTGTTTAAGTAGTTACTGATGTTCATGACGCTCAGGTAACTTCTGTCCACCCCTTTACAGCTGGTGTCAGGAGATTCCTTCTGGTAGGATTACCAGGGGCTCCAGGCTAGAGGAGGGAAGATGCAGAATACGTACAGCTGAGAGTGAGGAGAACGCAGGCCCGTGCTTCAGCGATGCTGCAAGGCTCCTTGGCAGAGTTTTTGAGCATACACAAAGCCGGGTCTGACCACCGACATTTGCTCAGCGGTATCTCACTCTGCAAGTAGCTTGGCTTAGCCTCCCTAAAGTCTGGGCTAAAATGCCTTTTTAGATTCTAAGGTTCCAAAAATCAGCTATGCTGTCAATTACCATAAAAGCAACTGGTTGGCAGGAGCTGCTTACTAAGCCAGCCAAAAGAGCGTGTTTTAAGACCAAAAAAAGAAAAGTAAAGAAGAAAGAGGTGGGTAGTTAGGAAAATCTTGGATGCTGTAAAACTCAAAGCATGCTGAAACTTAAAGAAGGGCTATCCTCAGTTTGGATGAGTGTTTCCTTAGAAAGTTGAGCAGAGAGACAATCCTATGGAAATGTCAGGAGCGCAGCCAACTCAGGTTGTCTCAGTTTGTCAGTGTGGGGTTCATGAATGCCACTCGGAAGCACACTGATTTAGAGTTAGATTCCTAAAATATCTGTAGGCCTAGAAAGTAGTGTCTTTCGTCCCTGTGATGTGTTTTTCAAACTGACTAAATAAATCCTAAAATTGGAAATGTTTTGTTAAGCATTTCACAAAAGACTACTTGTGCCACTACAATGTGAATAAAATTAAGGAAGATTAAGCATGTGACTATTTTTCAAATTAAACAATTTGAAATCACATAACAAACATTTCCCTAAGTTAAGATGGAAAATGTAAAAGATAGGAAACTGTAGGATATAGGGAATAGAACGAGGGAGAACCACTGAAGTTGTTCTGCCCAGAGGAAAGCAAAACAGGTCAGTGGACCAGTTGGGTGGTGAGAGGAAGACATAGCTCGTATTCTAAGGTGTCAGACAGAAGACAGTACTCACCTCCCCATCTCACCTAGCCTCATGTCTAATTAAAACTGGAAAATTAAAACTGTGGTCCTTATGTCCATGCCCTAAAGCAAGCC